ACCCAACAGCTGCAGTCCGCAACTCCGCACAATTGCCACAAACGCCGACGCTTCACCTCTGAGATGAATTGATCTGATGGCGTGACACAACAGCAGGCCTAATATACGGTAGCAACGATGAAGATGCCTGAGAAGACCAGGTGGCGAAGCGATTGTCAAAACTCCAGTGACTCAGTTGGCTGAAATTGCTGATACGAGCCTATGGCGATTACACTCATGGATGTGAATTCCCGTCATAGCTCCTACAACGAAAACTATCAATCAAATACTTTCGGGTCCGATGATCGAAACATATAGTCGATAGTTGCTGGTAAGAGCTATGGCGAATATTCATCTTTAAGACAAACTATGGATGTTATTCCCGCGTCTAGCTCCTACAACCGAAACTACAATCAAATAGTAATAATGAACCGAATGTGCGAATGGAGGAGCTTTTTCACATAGATCGAGAAAGAGTACAATTCAATGATAAAACTCTATCAGCAGTCTTCACAATCTACGTAGTTACCATCGACGACTTTCACACTCCACAAGAGTCTAAGACTGCAAACGCTCTACAAGAAGAAGTTACAAGCACTGCTCCTTCTAACGCACATCATCCCCCGTCACCATGGATAATAAGGCGACCTCCCGTCTCAATCGCACAAGCCAAACTCGAGAGCAGAGACCTCGCGTTCGAATGGTGTTCAAAGCCAACGGCGACCCCTCGCGTTCGAAGTCGTCTGATTGTGACCTCCGTTGTCGGAGCTTGTTTGAATAAGCTATCTATTGTGATTTTTAGACGGCCTACAGAGTCGTAATGGGATTGGCCCTCTTCATCCCAAAGCGTTCAAGCACCTTTTCAATATAACTCTTCTGTGAGAGATATAATGTTCCAGCTTTCCTGTCCCTCCTGATCTTCATACCTAAGATCTTCTTTGCTGCACCAAGATCTTTCATCTCAAACTCATCACTAAGTTGTTTCTTCAAAATAAGAATCTACGACATGTTCTTAGCAGCAATAAGCATGTCATCGACATATAATAGAAGATAAATAAAAGTATCATCTCCTAGATGCATGTAGTACACACAACTATCATAAGTACTTCTTGAGTACCCATGACTAAGCATAAAATTATCAAACCTCTTGTACCACTGTCTAGGAGATTGCTTTAGGCCATACAAAGATTTTTTCAATCTGTAAGCTTGATCTTCTTTACTTTCTACGAAGTATCCCTCTGGTTGAGACATGTAGATAGTCTCCTCAAGTTCGCCATGCAAAAATGCAGTCTTCACATCAAGCTGCTCAAGCTCCAGATCAAATAGAACAACCATGGAAAGCAATACACGGATGAAGGTATGCTTCACAACCAGAAAAAATACTTCATCATAGTCAATTCCCTCCTTTTGTCTATAACCCTTAGCCACCAACCATGCTTTGAATCTAGCATCTTCAACCCTTGGGATCCCTTCTTTCTTCTTGAAAATTCACTTGCATCCAATTACCCTTTTACCCTTAGGTAATTGCACCAAATCCCAAGTCTGATTCTTGTAAAGTGACTCGAGTTTTTCTGTCATAGCTGTGGCCTAACGTTCAGATTCTCCGCATGAGACAGCTTCAGTAAAGTTTGATGGCTCTTGAATACACATCTCTTCAGCTGTCGTGAGAGCATACGCCACTAATTCAGTTTGTGCATATCTTTGAGGAGGTCTGATCCGTCTCCTCTTCCTGTCAGTGGCTATGGAATAAGGTTCTTTAGTCTTAGCATCATCATCATCTGAGCTTGAATCATGTTGCTCTTCTACAGCTGTAGGAGCAATTTTTATAGACGACTTTTGAGAAGTCTCTCCCTCGAGCTCCACCTTATCCATGATCTTCTCTATATTTCCTGTAGACTCAACAGAAACCTTCACATGATCAAGCATATATCTTTCATTAAAAGTAATATCTCTACTAATAATGAATTTAGGAGAATCAGGTTCAAGACTCCACAAACGATAGCCTTTAACGCCATCAGCATAACCAATAAATATGCATTTCTTAGCTCTAGGCTCAAGCTTACCCTCTCTAACATGATAGTAAGCGGGACATCCAAATACCTTTAAATTTGAATAGTCATTTGGTTTACCTGACCATACCTCATTTGGAGTCTTGTGTTCAATGGCGGTAGAAGGAGACCGGTTCACCAAGTAACTAGCTGTGTTAACAACTTCAGCCCAGAAGTCTTTATCCAACCCAGAGTTTGAGAGCATACACCTAGCTCTCTCTGTCAACGTTCTATTCATGCATTCTACCACCCCGTTTTGCTGAGGAGTGTGCCTAGGGCTGAGCACGGTTTGGTTCGGGTTGGTTTTTACCAAATTTTGAACAACCGAACCGAACCGCATATAATTCAAAACCGAACCGAACCGTTGCAAGTCGGTTCAGTGCGGTTCGGTTCGGTTTGTTCGGTTCTAACTTCATTTTCAGAATGATTTAAACAGTAGACTTGCCAAATACTAAATCAAATAGAATATATCGTGACGGGTAAGGGATCCCATGAATATTAAATAGTAGTGTTTCATGGGTTGCCGACTTAATTTGGAAAAACAATAGGGGAAAAAAGGAACAAAATCATCATCCATGAAAACATATATACCAGAAAACAAATTAAGGATCGTTATCAAAGCACAAACTCAGAAAACCACAAGAGAATAGGAGTGCATAAATGAACAGGAAACTGATAGGCCGATATCTCAACTTACTACCTGTTGTATCCAAGGAAATAAATCAAAATTAAAGAATAATCGAAGTTAGAAGCTTGAAGAAGAACAAAAGATAAAGTTTATACCTCGGTCTCGGTGATGACGACAGGTGCGGATGTCCCCCTAAAGCCGGAGATAGATCCTAAGCCTGAGGAGATGTTTCGGCCTCGGCCATGAAGACTACGGAAGTGAAGAAGAGGAAGAGGAAGTGAGAGAGGTGGACCGTGGAACTGAGGACTGAGGAGTGAGAAAGAGTGAGAGAGAGGAACTGAGGAGGCGACTGGGAAAGTGGGAAGGGAAGTTTAGGCGTTTAGGGTTTGAGAGTCTGAGACTATTTTTGGGGACGGGTCGGGTTTGAGAAGAATGAGTATTTAGACCATGGGGTATTCGGTCGGTTCGGTTCGGGTTAAAAAGTTTTCAACCCGACCCGAACCGCCCTACTCTTAAAACCTATTTTTTCGGGTCGGTTCGGTCGGTTTTTTTGGTTTGGACCGAACCGTGCTCAGCCCTAAGTGTGCCTGACCGTGCGATGTCGTACGATCCCAGAATTTGAGCAGAACTAATTGAAATCTCCACTACAGAACTCTAGGCCATTATCTGTTCGGAGACGTTTAATCTTCTTTTCAGTTTAATTTTCAACAAGTACTTTCCACTTCTTAAAAGTTTCGAACACCTCGCTTTTACGCCTGAGAAAGTAAATCCAAACTTTCCCAGAAAATCATCAATAAATGTCAGAAAATAAAGAGCACCACCTTTGGATGGAACCTGAGCAGGTCCCTACAAAATCTGAATGGATGTAGTCGAGAGTGCCCTTTGTCGTATGTGAGCCAGTCGAGAAGTTGACCCGAGTTTGCTTCCCAAACACACAATGCTCACAGAAATCAAGTGATGATATATGGTCACCACAAAGTAAGCCATGTTTACTCAAAATAGTCATCCTCTTCTCACTCATGTGGCCTAAGCGCATGTGTCATAACTGAGTAGTGTCCCTATCAGCATCAGATGACACACCTGCAGAGCCTGTCACCGTACTGCCTTGGAGAACATAAAGATTGTTCACCTTACTACCTTTCATCACAACCAATGAACCCTTAGTAACTCTAAGTTGGAGAACATAAAGATTGTTCACCTTACTACCTTTCATCACAACCAATGAACCCTTAGTAACTCTAAGAGCTTCACCTCCACTAGTGTAAGAACACCCAATAGAATCCAAAGAACTCAAAGAAATCGGATTTTTCTTTAAGTCCGGGATGTGTCTCACATCTGATAAAGTTCTCACTATCCCATCGTGACACCGGATGCGAACTGTATCAATGCCAACTGTCTTGCAAACTGCATTGTTACCCATCAAAACTGATCCACCACTTATAGATCTGTAAGTAGTGAACCAATATTTATTTGGACACATATGATAAGACACACTTGTATCCAAGATCCATTCTCTATCGGAACGGTCATCCAATGGACAAACTGCAAGAACCGTCTCAGCAACAACGACAGTATCAGTCTTTGTCGTATTAGCTGAATCTGAGGTTTCACCATGTTGGTTGTCTTTCTTCTTTAGAGCATACCATTCTGACTTGTAATGCCCTTTCTTGTGACGGTAGAAACACTCCACATGTTTCTTTTTTGGGTTGACCTGAACTTTGAACGATTTCTGGATTGCCCTTTATCACCCTCTCTGGTCTTCGTTCTACCTCTGGTTAGTAGACCATCAGCCTGCCTACCGGTACCTCTCCCATTCAACTTTGTTCTTAACTCAGCAGAATTCAAAGAGGCCTTCACATCCGCAAGACTTATGGATTCCCTTCCATACAACATAGAGTTAACAAAGTTTTCATAAGAGTCAGACAAGGAACACAACACAATGAGAGCCTGGTCTTCATCATCAAGCTTTAGATCCAGGTTTTTCATATCCATGACAATTTTATTAAATTCATCAAGGTGTTCGTGAATGGGTGTACCTTCCTTCATCTTCAATGTGTATAGCCGCTGCTTCAGGTATAATCTTGTAGTAAGATATTTCTTCAAGTAGAGAGTTTCGAGCTTTGACCACAACCCCGCTGTCGTTTCCTCATCGGCAACTTCACGAAGCATATTGTCGGATAGTGGCAATTGCAAGGCGCTGTGAGCCTTTTCGTCCATCTCTTCGATCTCGGCACTAGTCATATCTTCTGGGTATTTCCCATCGATAGCTTTAACCGTGCCTTCACATCGCAACAAAGCCTTCATCTTTATCCTCCATAGGCTAAAATTGTTCTGGCCATCGAAGATCGACACCGAGAACTTCACAGAAGCCATTGTGGATGATTGAAAACCGTCCTAGAACCGAGAAGCTCTGATACCATTTTGTAGAGATAATAGACCCTCAGCGGTCCGCAGTGGTCTGATCTGTTGTACCAAAGATAACACATTAAACACAAGACCGAAAAATAAAGAGACAATCACAAACACACAATATTTACGTGGTTCGATCAAATTGATCTAAGTCCACGACAAGAGGGGGCTTCACTTTATTTCTCTCTTAGTGTCCTCTCCTTTACAAAATTTTGAGAGCTCTTATATTTTAGCTCTCTGTCTCAGGTATTGTAAAACTCTCACCGAGAAGACAAGAGAGGGTGATTAATTAGGAGGACCCACAAGTGAGAGTGACCCCAATCTAATCAAATCCTTCTTTGATTCTTTGCTCAAAATAAGAGTCTGATGTCATTCTACAATCAAAAATTGATATCAAAGAGATTTGAAATAGGTCCCACCCATTTTGGATTCAAGCCAAAAAGTCAACATAAACTTGTAAAGAAAGGGGTAGAGCTTCTCTTTGTTCATCTCCACGAAGCAATATTAGCCATAAGCAATTAAACTAATACCACAATATATGGTGGTGGCTATCAAAAAATTGCATACAGTAAATGAAGTTATTTAATAAACCCACAGATACAAGAAGCCCACTGTCACTATGAAGTTAATTGAGACTATCAGAAGTTTTTTTTTTAAGAGTCATTTTATCATATTTTTGCTCATATCTCATGCTCGATCAAATGCCCACTGTCACTGTCCACCAATATATTCTTAATGTCACCAAAATATCCACATATTAATTATCCCAAGCTTGTAGCAAACCATGAGCATCAGTAACTCAAAAGAGTCAAACTCTTAAACCATCCACTCAAATTTTGTAAAGAAACTCTTGTCTGCTGACTAATGCCTAATATATACAATATGTATGCCACTGGCTTAAACGAATAAATTGATCATTTCGTAAATAGACACTAGTATCCTACTGTACGCAACGCGAGCTTGACATAATATATGCTTGCGCATAATTAAAAAAAAGCTATAAACACCTATGCTAACAATATAAATAGGCGTAAAAAATATATTGAAAAAAATATATGAGTCTAAGGTAATTTATTTCTTTATTTTGGTAATATTTTGAGAAAATAGTAATGAATAGCAACAACATGACATGAAATCTCTAAAAATAGTGTCAAACCTATGCTAATATAAATCGAGGATTTCTATGCGAATAGTTTCAATGAACATGACCCTGAGATTAATGTCAGTATTTCTCACCATTAGACTTTGTTATATAGCACCAAATTATCATACTAATTTCTATAGTTGAGGAATAATGCAGATTTGAAACAGTTGATGTAGTTATCAAATAATGGATGATTTGTAAGTTATGAAATAGTGGGGGTGGAGCTCTTTCAAATTTGTTTCTTTATTAAGTTATACAGTTATAAGTTATTGGAAGTTATGTTTTAATCTTTTGGGATATGTTTGAAATTTCTTAAAAAGGTGACTAACATCGGGGTAGAACACTAAAAAAGAGATTATCTTGTATAAAATTCTCAGTGGTTATTTGACTTTTGGGCATAATCATATAATCTTGCAAAAGCGAGAGAAAGAGAGAGAGAGAGAGAGAGAGAGAGAGAGAGAGAGAGAGAGAAAGAGAGAGAGAGAGAAGAGACAAATTTAACCTTTAAAATTAAAATAAATAAAAACCTATTTTAGGAGTACTGAAGCCGATAAGTAACAGATTATAGTTTTCAGCTTTTCACAAATAACGAGTTGAAAATAACAAAATTTTTTGAGCCCTTTGGGTTAAATTAATTAAAAGACAATTCATGAGTGAAGAAGATCGCATCCTTGATAGCATCCGTTTAGAGCTTTGGATCTAAATAATTCAGCCAAAGCAACATTTTTACGAAGAATTCAGTTCAGAAACAACCATCAGAGTACTGGGGTACGTTGATTTTTGAAGAACAATGTAAACAAGGCGAAAAATAACTCAAGATACGGGGAGACTTTTTGTTATAAAAGTTTCTATCCTGGCACTAGTTCACGGCAGAAAAATTATAAATTGCATTAAAGATATGAGTTACATATTGAAATGTCATTTATACAAGTAAATAATACTACGAAAATACTTAAGTCGGTTTAAGAGAACAAGCTCTTGGCATAAATTTTTTGAATATATAGTATACATTCTTGATATGGCGCAGATTATGCTTGTTGAAGAGCATAAGTTGCTTTGAGATACTCGATAATGTCTGCGCTTTCAAACATTTTCACTCCGGTGTTTGGATCTTCTAAGTAAGGTGCCTGCAAATCAAATATAATGAAAAACTTATGCCTGATCAGACTTATTCAAGCTCAGGTTGTAAACAAGAAAGTAATGTAGGAAATAAAGGGGGTTAGAAGATGAAATATAACCTGAAAATGTCCCACTCTCTCAAATAAAATCTGTCGTTTTGGGCTGCCTCGAGCACAGCTGCAATACCAAGTTGTTTCAGAGAAAAATTCATAAATGATTAAATTAGATTACATTGTTCTTGAAGTTGAAGTAGATATTGTTCATGATAAAAAAAAAGAAGATTATTATGCTTTTGTTTCCTGAATTCTGAGGATCATGTTACATGTCCAAATACTGTATTCCAATACACCCAGAAGCAAAGAATCGCCAGGAGTTTCCCCAAAATGAAGTATTTGAATAATCAACTACAAACATATTACATGGGTGAAGCACAAGAGGCAAAAATGCAATAAGCTAAAGGGGAAAAGGAAATGCTATAGAGGGCCCACTATAGAAAATCAAGTGATACATGTTGCGCTACAAATTTTAAAGTAATGCAAACAGCAGATAATAATAGTACAAACAATATTAAAAAAACAATGCAAATAGTTAAGATATTAATACAAACAGAATATTAAATCAATGAAACAATGCGGCAAAACAATGCAATCCCCAACTTTAAAATGGATATTGGACATGAGCGAGCTTATCCTTCCTATATGATTTTCCCCTCTATAATTTTTTTCCTGAACCTAAAGGTCACCTCTGTAGATAAGTAAACAATTAGATACTGATGCATGAAACATGAAGAAGTAAAGAATACTTTACCTGTGAAGTATATGCGGCAATTCTAATTCGACTATAACTTCACGCACAAGTTTGCAGAAAGGGGAACCCTGAAACAGTAACCATCCATAAGTTGCACCTCTAAAATTCACAAAAATACATAGACAAGTCTAATTCATCTGAATAAATGTCATCTCGTGTCTCAACCTCATATGCCCATAATTCAATGGGTTCTGGTGGGAGTTTGGACGGAGTGTAAGAAGAACCCTGCAGAGAACATGTGCGACAACGTTAAAGGAAGACACTGAGATGCTTGTATTACCACCGAAACATTATTAGGAAACACCAATTAAACTGAATTTAGAATCAAAGATTGATTTTTCTTGCCTTCCCCAGGCGGCCAGTCATTGCTAGTCCTGCAGTTATAGTCTGCAAAACAATATTAAGTAGTGCATAGAAGAGAAGGCAGGAACGTTGTCGTAAAAAAATTATAATTGAAATTTAATCAATAACGTATGCAGATCTTACTGTGAACAAACCGAGTGACAATAATATAGGAACAGATCCATCACCTAAACAAATAAGAAAATGCTGTTATCAAGGTCCAAACAGAACAGAGAGAGAAGACATTCTAAAACAAAATTATTTAAACAATTCTAAAAAATATGCAAAATATGCGGCCAACACGAGATGGATTCACAACACAAGTCATCGTGCTATATAATGCACAACTATTTGTACAATACGGATCATGATTCTAGGACACATGGAAATGGATGTGTGAGTGACCTACCAAGAACAGTTGGTTATATCAAACATTCAAATTTGGGTAAAACAATATCAATCAGGCACTTAACACTTCAACAGATTTAAGCTAGATTAATTTGTTTCCTCAAGGTTGTGGGTGGCGAAGTAATTTGGGGTTAGACCCATCAATAGGAAAGCTCATTTCTTGTTGAGTATTGTTTGCATTAGGACATAGGAAGGGAGTAACCATAGGCATGAGTTTTCTATGTTTTTCACTATTAGTTATTGGATAAACATGTTACAGTCCTGCCTCTAATCCAAAAGCTCAGAGTTTTAGGTCAGACACGAGTAATGCGTTGGATAGTGTTCATAACATGTCAAGAGTGTCAATATCCAATATGTGTTGGACTAGTCAAAAAATAGTGTTGTCCAGAGACATTGAGCCCTACGCCTCTACACTGTAACAAAAAAACCTTACCACATGGATTCATGAAACATGCTAAAAGCGGGCCAGAAAAGTTAAAACAGTATTGACTAGAGCACTTCAGCAAAGATGAATATAAAACTGCAGTATATACTAATTACAATCAGTAACAACAATTTTAAACGAGGAAAAAATAATAATCTACCAAGCACCTTTATGTATGAAACAAACAGTAAAGATATCGTTAAGATATACTTCGTGATTGAGATAAAAATCATGGCATAAATTCTTCAGGAATTGTATTAAAACAAAACAAAGAGGGAAGGTATAGGCAAACATACCATATTTGTTCACCAGATACTTTATAATGTCATCCGATTCATACATAGCAACACCAGTGTTTGGATCAACCTGCATTCAAAGTTGAAAATTTAGATCCATAAGCAGAACCAAATAACAATACCAAGTCAGGTCGTGAGGTCGATCATGGTATCTAGAGTACTACCTATATCTACGACAGTATAAAGGAAAAGCAAGGGGTAGGTGAAAATGAAGGAATGGTAGGAAATTCCAACTTCTTCTTTAGATTTTAATACACAAAGCAGAGGGGGGAAATTGGAAAGAGATTTAGGTTATTAAATGATGTGGTCTCATTCTCCACTATCCACTCCCTCTACATATCTCTCTCATTTTTCATGTTGATTTCATTCTCTCACTCTGTCTATATTAAAACATTACATAAATCTTTTAAAATAGTATTTGAAAAAGATAAAGCAATAAAAATAATAATAAAACTTGAATTTAAACATATTTATTAGCCACATATTTATATTTGTCTTCAAAATATTTGCTATGATTATAAGTTATTCCATAGAATTAATTATTAAATATAATAACGCAGGTAAGTATATATGCTAGCTCCACAGCTGCTGGTACTGCCATAGATGGGAGTTCTACCGGTTCTGCTGCTTGAAAAGCCAATTATCGTTTCAAAAAATTTGTCAAATATAATTATAAGTGTAACTAGAGTTTGTGTATCTAAATATTATAATGAATTATATATCCTAAATATGTGTTTATTTAAAATAATGTTACTTAGGAAACATCATATTATAAAATAGGGCAACATTTAGCATGTGAACATTGCCAGAAAAATATATATTAAGAAGTATAAAATTATATTTATGTTTCTGCTTTGAACATAATATAGATTTGGTGAAATATCTAATGTATAAAAGTTTTGTTTCTTTCATCTAAATTTATGCATGGGCATGATGCACATGTATGTTGGCCAGTTTTTAAGTAAAGATTGTTATGGAGATCAGCTTTTAAGAAAGAAACATTAGTTTAGCCTCCTATCCTGACATCAGCATCTGCGAGCTCACTAATTAACACCAGACATTTATAAACAACAAGCAGTTTTTTTTTAACCTAAATGAAGCCTAAATTACATAAACAACTGGCTGTTGATTAGCAAATGCCGACTTAGCAAAAGATTCAAATATACTCAAGTGTCTTCTTTTTAGGACAGCAACCCATAAATATGCATGAGATCATGATTTCATGCATATTTCTTTTAATTATCTGCACCAAGAAATATGGGTATAGTCTAGAACGGAAATAAAGGATTTATAGCATGGTAATAAAGGATAAGATCTATGCATATGGACAATCTAATCCAATATGGAAATACAACAAGTGGATTCAAAACTATGTTGAACGCTACTTGCTAACTTATAGAATTTAGAAGTGAAACTCAATTAGGCAGCACGTTTCGATATTCTTAACTTGTTTATTCAGTATATGAGAAGAGGAATGACCATGTAAGGAAATTGCTGCTTTCCACCCATCTGTAAGACTTTGGGACGGAAGTTTGGACCATTTCTTGGACAAGGATAGAACAGAACATCAAGGTCTAGAACAGCAACAATCTCTCTGACCTGTAATTTTTCAACAATTAATTTGGATATGTTAGATGTAAATCAAAATGAAACAAAAATTTTAAGCCTCAGTCAGAAGACCAAATGTGACCAATATTATTAACACAGTAACCATGCATGGCAAAACCCAACCCTGCCTTGAACAACAACAACAGGGGGAAAAAAGAACACACAAAAAAGACAAGGACAAAAGTAGAATAGAAGTCCACAATGACGCATGCAAAGGAAAAAGAATACAAAAGGAAAAGATAATACCTAAAAGAGCTTATTTTTTAAGGATGCTGAAAGTAGATTACCTTCCGACAAAATGGACAGCTGGAATTTCCAAGTTATCCATATGCCATAGGAGAAAACAAGAATTATCAGTCATTTTTATGAGATAATATTTAGTGAACATGACAAATTGTGAATGATGGATAATCATAGAACTCTTATCTGCTGAAATATCATAAATGTGTGGTGGTAACATACCCTTCATATTCATAAATCTCAATAGGCTTCTCTGGACGAGGCCCTAATTTTGCAGTCTCTTTCAGCTTATTACCTAGTTGAGCACAATATGATGGGAATATAGTAATTAATTAATATAGTGTACAAATTTAAATTTTGCTGATATTCTAAATGCACATTTGTAGATGATTAGTCAGACCAGTGCTTCTAGCTTAATATGTAACTTGCAAGAGATGCATCTAGAGCTTCGCCAACCAAAAGAGATTACAATTTACCTGACATACTCATAGCATACTGGCCTGCTGGAAATTGGTCCTCAGGTACAAATGAAACAGAATATCTGCAAATGTTAATGTACACATGAAGAAACATAAGAATATCATGGCGCACTGTTGTATTATAGACATGCATAATAGCCCGAGGTTCAAAAGTGCTTAAGATGCCCCGCGATATTATGGGGATGGGCACAAGAGAACATGGATACATCAACATCAAGATTCCTAGAAATTTAGGATGTGAATATGTTATGGTACAATATTAAAAATTATATTGTTGTATGACAATGTTCAATAAATATAACATGAATGCATAAGGTAGGTATTAGAGAAAAGCACAATATTTGAAATATTATGATATATTTTCAAGTTATATAAATCAAATAAGTACTTAAAATCATAATGCTATTTATTAAGAATTCATCATTATTAGACAAAATATAAAATTCAATGTGTCTACCTATCAAATAGAAATGTGAATATATCATTTAAATATGCTAATTTTTTTACCTTCTTATTCTCGAATATAACTCCAGTGTGTCTTTAGTAAGTGATGAGTCAGTATGATTGTTGCGGATTTTAGGATACATCAATAGGAGGAACCAACATTCATGTTCCTTTGTTGATGTATCCTCGCAACGCTTATCGTTCCTCTGTAATCTCTCTTCCTCAATCTGATGTTTGAGGAAAACCAAAAGAGAAAAAGACATGTGTCGGGCAACACAGAGAAAGAAGGAATGGCAATCACATGTTGATAATGACAACAGTATTCAAATTGGTTCTACTTTAACACTAGAATATATCTTGGCACATCAAGCTGACCAACATATCCATTCAGAGGATAAATCAAAGCAGAGTTTTACCGAATGCCTCTCACGATCTAGAGAACTTGATTTGCACATCCATACTTGGGAAGGGCTAAATGCACCCTTGCTGCACTTCCCAGCAGATAATGTATACTGCATTTATTCATAAATTATCCTCTAATATAGTTTAAAGTATATGATTTCTGAGCCAAATTACGTTGAGAAAGAATAATAAATTAGCATTAACATAGCTAAAGAGATTTCACATGATCTTGTCTTGGCAATATCAGATCAGTCCACACTGAATTGTACAGATAAAGGGGGCAAATTCCATCTTTCGATGTGCTTATGTACAAACTTTTCCTCTAAGAGTATAAATTATTAACCAAAGATTAAATTGCATGCAAATCTCTAAATATAATTTTTTTTAAGTTTCCACCCTTCACTTAATCTGTGTTCCGAAAGCAATTCCCTCACTTAAAAAAATGTTGCTTTGGGCTTTATCCCCTCGCAAATATTAGGGTTTATAAATCTACAAAATCAAATCTATCATCAAATCAGCATGACAACAACCACAAACTACTCAACTATCATCTGAAAACCCTAATTTCAGTTGGAAAAAAAAAACATAAATCACAAACCCTTGAGCGAAAACTCCGGAGCCGAAACGAAAGAACAAGGGGAGAGAAGCTCCGAACACATCCCCTCGCTTATCGGGTCGAACTGAAAACGGTTTCGGATCTGGGGGCTTGAAATCCTCGAGAGGCGAGACCGAAGAGGTTTGTTTCTCTGCCTCTTTGACGGATTCCTGGATCTCGGCCAAAACCCTAAACCGCTTAGCGGTTTTAGGGCGGCGGTTAAGAGGCCGGAATACCGGGAGTGAGCAGGAGGTGAGAGCTCCGGCCATGGAATTGAGGAGTCAGTGTTTGAGTGGCGCCAAACGGACGAGAAAAGAAAGATATTTTGTAAGCGGTTGGCATTTTTTGAGGGTAGTTAATGGTTTCGTTGTAGGAACCGAATCCACTTATATTTGGATTTGTTAACCCGACCCGAGCGGATCAGCTCTACTCCCGCAAACAGACTTGATACGGATCCGACACGAGTAACATGACATGTACCATATCGGCCCATATTTGACAAATTCAAAAATGGATGCGGCTAAGGGCCTGTTAGGTTGAGCCAATATTATAGGAAAACTTCAGTTTTGAAACAAAAAATAACTTTTAGGAGGATATAGGATTCCAATAACTGTGTTTGTTTCAAAAAAATTTAAGAAAATGTTTGCTAAAAAGAGGACAAACAATGTTATTTTTTGGACAGCTCATTTCATGTGAACCCGTACCCCCATATATAACTCTCACCGCCTCTTCTTCTCGTTCCACCTTCTTCTAACTTTCCCTCCTCCATTTCCCACCTCTCGTTCCATCCTCTTTTGCTCCACCTTCTTCCTCGCTCTCAAGGTCAATGGCCGTAGTACTTATTCTTGTGGTAATTGTCAGGCGCCCAACCTTTTTGACCCAGCCAACATGAAAACAAAAGTGGGGCCCACAAAGGTGGGCCCCACAAGAAGAAAAATCAAATTCGGTGGCAGCCATTGTTGAGAATTTATAAAGGATGTGGGTCCCACAAATATTTTATTATTAGTGGCGGGTCCCACAGATAATATTATATTTGTGCATAGTGTTTTCTCAAACACTATAAATAGGGCCCTAAACTCTTAAGGAAATCTCATCCCAGAAACAACTCCTCTTATAGAAGAGTAAGAGAAAACAAAGAGAGAGTTTGTGAGAGTTCTTGGAGTGTATCTGATCAAGAGAGGGTGTTCTCTTGGATCAATTCTTTTGGGATATAAAAGAATTTGGCGTCGTCGTTGCACCGTGGAGTAGCTCCGAAGGAGTGAACCACGTATATCTGTGAGTACTCTGTGTTGAATTTTGTGCCTTTATTTTGTGATTAAGTCTCCGTTCGAGGCGTTATTATTGGGGTGAATCCTAACAACTGGTATCAGAGCCTGACTTAGAGTATATATATCTGCTTATCGTATGCTCTGTGGCTGCCACTAAAAGTGGATCCTCCACATCAGAAAATAAGTTAGATTAATATTTACTCTTTTAAGGCATTGGGCACTATTCACGTGTACGGCACTATTCACGGATACAGTACTATTCACGAATACGGTACTATTCACGAATATGGTACTATTCACGGATACGGTACTATTCACGGATACGGTACTATTCACGAATACAGTACTATTCACGAATACTGTACTATTGACGAATACGGGAAAGACGTAATCTTTCGCCATGGGATCTACAGTTGAAGACAACAGGCTTCGAATTGAGAAGTTCGGCGGCCAAAATTTCAGGTATTGGAGGATGCAAATAGAAGACTATTTGTACCAGAAGGATCTCTTCCTACCCCTCCAAGGAGAGGCGGGGAAACCTGAGAAGATGGACGACGATAAGTGGAAGGTGCTCGATCGTAAAGCACTTGCCACCATCAGGCTCAACCTTCACCAGCATGTGACTTACAACGTCTCGCATGCGACCACCACCAAGGAGTTGATGGAGGCCTTGGAGGCGCTGTATGAGAAGCCGTCTGCTTCAAATAAGGTGTACCTGATGAAGAAGCTATTCAATCTCAAGATGCAGCAAGGAGCTCGCGTGGCGGACTTCTTGAACGAATTTCAGGCTGTGGTGCAACAGCTTGCTGCAGTAGATCTAAAGTTCGACAACGAGATCCAAGCTCTTCTGCTACTTTCTTGTCTACCAGATTCATGGGAAAATATGGTAATGGCGGTGAGCAACGCTAATGGCAATGACAAGATGAAGCTCGACACAGTGGTTGGGGCAATTCTGGATGAAGAATCTCGCCGCAAAGTCTCAGGAGCTGAGGCCTCTAGCAGTGGGAGTGCTCTGCATGTCGAGGTACGAGGGCGTGCACAGAAGAAGGGTAGGGGACGACGAGGCCAATCAAAATCCAGAGGGAAGTCTAAAGGGCCTAACCCGAATGGTTACGGTGAAGGGAAGTGCTTCAGATGCGGAAAGAAGGGCCACTTTGCACGGGACTGCAGAGTTACTGTTCAAGCATCAGCAGGGGATGATCGGGCTGACGGTGCAGCCAATCTCATACACGAGACGGATTCGGATGCACTTCTCCTATCCTTAGAAGACAAAAGTGATGCGTGGGTCATCGACTCTGGCGCATCTTTCGATGCAACCTCACAACAAAAGCTGCTTTCATCGTTCGTAAAGAAGGACTTGGGGACAGTCTATCTTGGCGACGATCAACCTTGTAAGGTTTCCGGGAAGGGAAATTGTACCCTCAAGATGGAGGGCGGGACCACCTTGACGCTGAATGATGTTCGGCATGTACCAGATCTCAGGCGAAATCTTATATCAGTCGGGCAACTGACTGACTCCGGTTACAGAGTATCCTTCGAGCAGAGAAGCTGGAAGGTGTCCAAGGGTGCCCTGGTGGTGGCACACAGCAAACACGAGGGATCTCTCTACATCGCCAACGGGAAGATCGACCACTTGCTTGCCGCAGGACAAGCATCATCATCATCATCCGTCGACTGCATGACTTGGCATCGACGACTTGGCCACATGAGCGAGAAGGGGATGCAGATTATGGCCGCGGGAGAGAGGCTTCCGGGTCTGAACAAGATCGATCTGACTTTCTGTGAGGACTGCATCCTAGGCAAACAAAAGAAGGTGAGCTTCAACAAGACCAGACCGACTCCAAAACTGCAGAAATTAGAGTTGGTGCACACCGACGTGTGGGGACCTGCGCAAGTCCCATCTGTTGGTAACTCTCTTTACTTTGTCACTTTTATTGATGATGCTACGAGAAAATTGTGGGTGTTCTTCTTGAAGCACAAGTCAGATGTATTCATCATCTTCAAGAAGTGGCTTGCCTGTGTGGAGAACGAAACAGGCAATAAGCTGAAGTGCCTAAAGTCTGATAATGGAGGCGAGTATTGCAGCCAGGAGTTCGAGAACTTCTGCTTGTCCCGTGGGATTCGGAGACTGAAGACCGTCCCAGGCACACCTCAGCACAACGGAGTGGCGGAGCGCATGAATCGCACTATCTTGGAGCGTGCCAGAAGTATGAGGATCCACTCCGGATTGCCCAAGAGATTTTGGGCTGAAGCTGTCAATACTGCTGCATACTTGATCAACCGCGGGCCATCCGCGGCTCTCAATTATGGGATACCTGAAGAGGCTTGGACCGGAAAGAAGTTGAAGCTAGAGCACTTACGAGTATTTGGTTGTGACGCCTATGTCATGACCAATCCTACAGACCGGTCAAAACTTGATCCAAAGTCAAAGAAGCTCTCTTTCATCGGCTATGGAGGAGATGAGTATGGGTGCCGTTTCTGGGATCACGATGCGCGCAAGGTGGTGCGCAGTTGTGACGTTGTATTCCATGAGAATGCGGTGTACAAGACCAAAGAGGTGAGTGGGAGTCAACTATCTCCCCCTTTTTTCCCAGATATTGCTGACAGTGAGGACGGCGGTGAGATACCAATCAGCATAGAAGACGGAGACCAAGAGAACATGCGGGATGCACAACAGCAGGATCCAGCAGAGTTGCCGATCGCAATTCGCAAAGCTCCAAGAAATCCAAGGGTGCCAGAGAGGTACCTTTCCACAATGAATTACCTTCTCCTGACTGACAATGGTGAGCCAGAGAGCTATGAGGAGGTACAGCAGACCGACAAAGCTCGGGGCGAGTGGGAGTCTGCCATGGAGGAAGAAATGAAGTCCTTGATGAAGAATGAGACTTGGGAGCTTGTAAAGCTTCCACGAGGGCGAAAGGCTCTTCACAATCGGTGGATTTATCGGGTCAAGGATGAAGCCGATGGACGGAGACGCTACAAGGCGAGGCTTGTAGTGAAGGGCTATGAACAGAAAGCAGGGATTGATTATTCTGACGTTTTCGCTCCCGTCGTCAAGTTGACCACGATCCGAACTATGCTGAGCATTGTAGCAGTTCAAGATCTCCACCTAGAACAGATGGATGTGAAGACGACATTCCTTCATGGAGATATGGAGGAAGAAATCTATATGCATCAACCAGTGGGCTTCGAGGAACGAGGCAGGGAGGGCCTCGTATGTCGTCTGCACAAGAGCTTGTATGGCCTGAAGCAAGCTCCACGACAGTGGTACATGAAGTTCGAGAACTTTATGGAGGAGAACGGTTTTCTCAAATGCGACACAGACCACTGCTGCTTTATCAAGAGATATGGTGAATCTTATGTAATACTCTTGATTTATGTTGATGACATGTTGATTGCAGGGCCCGACTTGGCCCGCATTGAGGAACTCAAGGGGCGTCTCTCCGAGTGCTTCGAGATGAAGGATCTGGGTCCAGCAAACCAGATTCTGGGGATGAGGATCATCAGAGACAGATCAGCACGGAGGCTGAGGTTGTCTCAGAAGGCCTACATTGAGAAGATTCTTGAAAAGTTTGGCATGGAGAAAGCTAAACCGGTGGGCTCGCCGTTTGCAAGTCATTTCAAGCTATCGAAGACCCAAGCACCAGAGACTGCTGAAGAGCACGAGTTCATGGCAAACATACCATATGCATCTGTCGTCGGGAGTTTGATGTATGTGATGGTGTGCACGAGGCCGGATATTGCACAAGGGGTAGGAGTTGTGAGCCGCTTCATGAGCAATCCAGGGAAGCAACACTGGGGTGCGGTCAAGTGGCTTCTACGCTACTTGAGAAGCTCGTCCGACCGTTGTCTTGAGTATGGCGGGGCAGATTTGCAGCTAGAGGGCTTTTGTGATGCAGACTACGCAGGGGATATAGATTCAAGAAGGAGCACGAGCGGCTACATCTTCATCTTGGGTGGTGGAGCGATAAGTTGGAGATCCAAGTTACAGGATACTGTGGCTTTGTCGACAACCGAAGCCGAGTACGTGTCTGCAGCAGAGGCAGCAAAGGAGTTGCTATGGTTGAAGGCTTTTCTTCTCGAGCTTGGAGTAAGCTTTGAGAAATACTTCATCCACTGCGACAGTCAGAGTGCCATTCACTTGTCAGAGAACGACGCATTCCATGCTCGGACCAAACATGTTGACGTGAAGCACCATGCCATACGGAGATGGCAAAGCAGGAACGAGTTCAAGCTTGTGAAGATTGATACGAGGTATAATCCAGCTGATATGCTGACCAAGCCAGTTCCGCTCGAGAAGGTGAGGCTGTGTGCAGCCTCATATGGCCTCCGTTGAGAATGTTGAGGGCCGTGCAAGACGCCAAAGATACATGACATCCGGATGGCGGGTCCCACAGATAATATTATATTTGTGCATAGTGTTTTCTCAAACACTATAAATAGGGCCCTAAACTCTTAAGGAAATCTCATCCCAGAAACAACTCCTCTTATAGAAGAGTAAGAGAAAACATAGAGAGAGTTTGTGAGAGTTCTTGGAGTGTATCTGATCAAGAGAGGGTGTTCTCTTGGATCTATTCTTTTGGGATATAAAAGAATTTGGCGTCGTCGTTGCACCGTGGAGTAGCTCCGAAGGAGTGAACCACGTATATCTGTGAGTACTCTGGTTGATCTTGTGCCTTTATTTTGTGTATTGCGTCTCCGTTAGAGGCGTTCTTATTGGGGTGTATCCTAACAGTAATTTTTCAATTTAGCCCTCTATTTTGTTTTTAATGCAAATTTTGAGTGTTTTTGTTGATTCTGGGAGTTTCCACTTGCAGCCTGACACTGATTCTTTCTTTGTTTGTAATATTGATAAAGATCCGTTTGGAAGTTTGATGGAACCTCTCTTATGAGTAAATTCGTTTCTGTAGCTTCTTCCTTTGGTTAGCGACAAATTTGTAGAACCTAGCAAGTTTGTTGAAATTTGATCACTTAGACACTAGTAGAAAACCATGTATTCTAGACGGAATATTCTAGACGGAATTTTTTTCGTCTAGAATGTATTAAACTAGACGGAAAAATTTCCGTCTAGAATATTCCGTCTAGGATAAAATATTCTAGACGGAAATTTCCGTCTAGAATAGTATTCTAGACGGTTGTTTTATTTTTATTATTTTTTTTTAAATTTACCACATATCCTAGACGGAAATTTCCGTCTAGGGTGTATCCTAGACGGAAATTTCCGTCTGGGATACGTGGAAATTTAAAAAAAAAATTTACCCGTCAAAACCCCAGCCGCGCTTCTTTTCCCCCCAAATCGAAATTTTCAGCGCCTCTTTAATCCCCAAATCCTCAACTCCTACTCCTCCCTCCACCGCCTCCCCCTCCTCACCCTCTCCCTCCTCAACCTCACCCCCGACCTCTCCCCCCACTCTACTCCCTCCTCACCCTCGCTAAGGTCGCCACCAACGTCCTCAACTCGACCGAGGTCCACAACTCTGAGACGCTATTCCATCTCGTTTGAGACCGGCCGCAGGGGCGACCGCTGACCACCGTCAGCAACCACATGTCCACGTGAGTCTCAGTTCTTGATAGTTAGGGCGTTTATTGTTTGAAATTGAATTTATTTTGATTGATGATTTGGGTTTAGGGTTGGGGCCAGGGCCGGCCCTGAGCTGAGGGGGGCACAATATTTTCTACCCCTTTGTTCATCACGAGGAGCGCAAGCACTTGCTGAGGGGGATTTCGGGCCGTCCCGGACTGACGAGGTAGATGATTGGGGATCGACGAAGAAAACTCCAGTGGGGTTTGAGAGGAGGGAGAGGCCGAGAGGGGTCGAGGGTTCTTCGGTTCGTAGTCGAGGGCTGATGAATCGGACAGCTGGATATCAAAGAAGGGGACTTTGCCTCCGGTGAATGAAGCAAGGAGAGAAAGGAGGGGTTTCGATTTTCATAAGGAGAGAAGTAAAGGGAACAGAGTTGATTCTGATAGTTGGGGAAAGAAGAGGGAGGAGAATGGAGGGAGTTCGAGGCCGAGGATCGTGCTTCATCCAAGGACATTGTCGGTCGTTAATAAGGTTAATGGGGAGGAGAAGAAGGAGGTGGAGGCGAAGAGTAAAGGGTCGAATCCTTTTGGAGCGGCGAGGCCGAGGGAAGAGGTTTTAAAGAAGAAGGGGAAGGATTGGAAGGAGATTGATGAGAAGCTTGAGGCTATGAAGATTAGGGAACCGAAGCGTAATGCTTGGAGGAAGGAGGTTGGGGTGGGTAATGGGTTGAAGGAGGAGAGGACCGAGAGGACTTGGAGGAAGCCGGAAGGCGGAAGCGAGTGATGCTACTTCACCACCACCAAGGTTTGAGTTTTGATTCTTTCATTTATAATTCTTTGGGCTCTATTTTGCGAAATGATAGGATGCTGCTTTTGCTTTGTAGTTTTAGTTGGATTGGCGATTGAGTTACAAGAAGAGAACATGAATTCTTTGACTTATTGTTTGCTTGCTCATATGTTATAAGATCATGTGAAATTATGATTTTTGGGTGATGTTCCTGATATTTCAAATATGGGGAGTGTTTTTTCTTCTTTTGTGCTTAAAGTTGCCTTCATTCTTTTATTTCATCATCTTTTGTATATATGTCTGTTAATGTTGGGTTAGATTTCTTAGTTTTGAAGTAAATTACACGTAAACAATCATTCAATTCCATGTTAAGAGCTTTGTTTTGCTTACTAACTGCTGCTATTTCCACTATTTATGTAATACATTATATGTCTAGTGTGTTATAGTTTTGTTTAGACTTGTATTTCTAGTGACGTGTTACTAAATATGCTGGTAGCAGCTATCCTAGTATGGCAAAACCCAGGCTCAATACTTATGGTTAAAAGGCTGCTGATGACTAGAGGTGAATATTGGAAATATCAATGAACCTTACCAGAATTTTCTCTATGTTGAGCAAGAATAAATAGATGAGTAGGAACTTATAGGATTGACCCTTGATGAGACGATATGTTTTAAAAGATGGAAGAATAAATAGATGAGACGATATGTTTTAAAGCAGGAAGGTAAAATGCCATGTGATATTCTGATGGTAAAATTCTGTGTGCCTATTCCGATGGAAGAATAAATAGTTAAAGTATATCAGTATTCTTTAACAATGCAAACAAAGAAGACAGAGGAGCTCATACTTACCACTGTTTTCTGTTCTTATGTGGAATTTCGTTGTTAATGATGCTGTTTCAGAAATAGAAGTTGTCTTTGTCCCAGAAGCTACAGGTTTAAGATCCATTGTAGATGCTGTTGAGAGCCAAAGCAGTGGTAAGTTTAAGGTGCACGTCTGGAATCCATACAGCAGAACAGTGTCAGATGATGCCAGAGAAGCCTCAAAAATGTTTCACCTTTTCATTTCCAGTCTCATCCTCAGTGTGAGTATGCTTTTGCTTATATCTGTATATCTTATGCCTTTTCTTAATATGATTCATGGATTAGAATATCATTAGGCAATTGGTGGAGTGGTAATCAGACCCAATACTAATACATGGATAACCAATCTGTCAATTATTCGTTTGCATAGTTGCACATAATTATGTATTAATATTTGGGCATAGCAGCTTTTAATCATAAAGTTGATGTCTGTTAAGTAGCCATCCTTGTATTAATTATGTATTAATTATGTATTAATATGTTCATATATCTGGTTCTCTTATCTGGAAAGTCTAGAAATTATAGTGGAGTATTTAGCAGAAATAGGGATATAACTGTTATCTCTAGAATCATGTGAACTACATTCTATCGAGAGCCAATAATTATAGCAGAAATCTTTACTTTACATTTGTGTATGGTTGTTCTATAACGACAGAAAACAAATAAGTTTGAATGCAGATGGTGCTTGAAAATAAATAGCACAGGAAATAGTTCAAATGATTTATCTGATATTTGTATTTGAATCCAGTGATCACTGACCTGTTTGATAACCATCCAAACTGATATGAACTAGTAATATGTGATCCTGCCCAACTGCTTGTAGCATATGTAGCACAAGCACTTGTGTTGTGAAGCCCTGTCTTCCTCAACACTAATTGTTTCCGAACTATTATGCAACAGGTTCCTGTCTTCCTCATACGCCTTCCGTACATAAATTGTTTTGTAAACAAAAATCTCGGACCATTTATAATCAGTGATCTGTTGAAGTGGGTTCTAGTGAGTATTGTTCAGTTTGTAATTGGCAAGCGATTCTATGTAGCAGCCTATAGAGCACTGCGGAATGGATCTACAAACATGGATGTTCTGGTTGCATTGGGAACTTCGGCTTCTTACTTCTACTCTGTTTGTGCCCTTCTATATGGTGCAATTACTGGGTTTTCATCCCCCACTTATTTTGAGACAAGTTCTATGTTAATTACATTTGTTTTATTTGGGAAGTGTTTGGAAGTTGTTGCAAAAGGAAAGACGTCAGATGCTATCAAGGAAGAATAGGTTTGGCTTAATAAGAAGAGTGGTGATGATGATGAGTTGATTGCGAAGGGAAAATCCTATGTGAATTCGTGTAAATAATTGATGTAAAAGTTTGTAAACAATTTTTTTCTAGTATTTTGGTGAATGTATTATTTGAATATAATGGGATTTGATATTGGAATATAATTATATTGTGTTGGATATGAATATAATTTCTTTTTGTTCAATATTGTGTATATGCATCCCAAGTAGATTCTGCAAAAAAAAAAAAAAAAAACTACTATAGCAAAGTATCCTAGACGGAAATTCCGTCTATGATGCCTTTTTAAAAAAAAATTAAAAAAATAAAAAACATCAATTTCCGTCTAGAATGATTATTCTAGACGGAAATTCCGTCTAGAATACTCATTCTAGACGGAATTTTTTTCCGTCTAGGATGAATTATTCTAGACGGAATTTCCGTCTAGAATAATCCGTCTAGTATGTATTCTAGACGGAAATAAAAACCGTCTAGAATATTCCGTCTAGGATGTATTCTAGACGGAATTTCCGTCTAGAATACTGTATCCTGGACGGAAACATTCTAGACGGCTATTCTAGACGGAATTCCGTCTAGGATTAGACGGAATTCTGTGCATCCTAGACGGAATTTTCCGTCTAGGATGCCAAAATTTTTAGCAGTGAGACTTCAAATAGAAGATATAGAAATCGTGAATTTCCCCTACAAAAATTATATTGCAAATAGTAAGATTTGTTGATGATTTTCCCTCTTTTCCAGTATACGAAAGAAGTAATAAAGAAGGGAAATTTAGCCTGTGCATTTCGTAAATAATTCAATTTACAATTATCCACGATGAAACTGTGTAGGTTCTATTATTTCACTAATAATGTTCCAAGAATTTCACACGTCTGTAATTTTATTAGAAGGAATTAAAATGTTGGTTTCAGTCTAAATGTTGCTGATAGCATTTCTATGATGGTGGTTTTCTTATTTTTTAGAAATGAAACAAACATGAGTCTTGGATATGTTTTCCTATTCTTTACTTTATCATTTCATATCAAACACAAGTTTTGAATTCCTTAGAAATCCTAAAAAATCCAAATTTGGTTTCTTCTCAGGGAATACATTTCCATAGTTTTATGGAAATGAACCAAACATCCCCTAAGATGATAGGAAGATAAATACAACTACATAAAGGTAGGAGAGATTAATAAAACTCAAAAGTATGCATATTGTTTATGTTAGGGAGTTGATTGTATGGTTTAGTGGATATTTAGAGGAGTTTAGGATCCATTGGTCTTCTTTGATAGTTGATTAGACATTGAAAAGTAGAATCCTGCATAGGAAACACGTGTTAGGAAGGAAATTTTAGGTGCTCATGGAACACCAAAGTGCCTACACCCCTCCAATAGGAGGGGGGCATGTGGCATTAGAGAAGGAGAATGTGGTGGCTTGTAGCATGGAGGAGAGATGTATTCATGGGTATTAGAGGGGTGTGGGGTGGGGGTGGGGGGGGGGGGGAATGTACCATATTTTCCCCTCTAAGGCCAATGCCCCCACCCCCCTGCCTCCTCCTGCTGAGAGGTGTAGGGCATCTTGCCTCTCCATAAGTAGGCCAAGATTTCTCCACGTTAGAGGTTTGAAGTTTGTTGCTCTGGCATGCCTTCAACGTTCAAGTCAATAATAGACTAAGTAAGTTTACATATACTAATTTTAGGGAGTTATTTCACAGTTTTTTGCATACTTTTCAAATAGTGAAGATTGCCCACTATTTATAGAGGATTGGTAGGGGCGCATCAGTGATTTGACATGGTCGGTGCAGTCGGCTAAACGGATTGCACTTTGCACATATCAGTAGTATGTTGAATGAGTCATATTTACGTTTAATGCAATAGTGACACAAACAGGTGAAGTGCCGGCATGGTTCGAGAAGTCATAACTTCGGTCTGAAGGGTCATGATGATTCAAAATCAACATTAAATGCGATGGTCATTGATCGGTGAAGTACGACTGTTGAAGCTGATAGGTCGTCTCGTCATTCGAGGCATTCTCTAGCGAGGGCCCAAGTAGAAGACATTCGTCTCGGATTTAGGTTGCCAAAGAGGTCGGTGATGCTTACACCCAGGTTGGGCTCTTGGACTAGTAGAACTCAACGAATTAATTATGACGCGTGGCCGACTCTCAGTAGTTTATTGGACTTGATAATTTTCTCGATACAACACATACTATACGAGACAATAAATTCTTTTAGATAAAGTAAAATTTGTAAGATCACATCTCACAAACTTACTTAACATGCCCACAAATTTAGAATTAGATTTATGAAAATCAAACTTAGTCCATTAATTAAAGCCAGATTAGTTTTTGTCCGATATCTGCACTGTATATAGACACACGTACGTATCCTAACCCTATCAAAATTAAGAAAAGACGTCTATAAATGTGTCGACATTCTTCCGAACTTGAATCTTAATATTTGGCTAAAATACTAAATTGGCCTAAATAGTGCCACATCTTACCATTTTGGTCTAAAAGTGATACCGACGATAATTTGACCTAAAAAATAACAAATTGGTGATAAATAAACCTTTTTAGTTACCAGAAGCATTTTTTAAGAAAGAAAATTAAGAGTTTTATATGTACCCTTCAAAGTTGTCATATTTTATGATTTAACCCCTCAAGTTTTAAAATTTGTAAAAAGAACTCCTATCTCCCTCCCTTCCCATCAACTTTTCCCTCATCCTTCTTGTCATTTTTTTCATTCGTTTCTTTTCCCAATCGTCACCATTCTCTCCCTTTTCTTTTACATATCCTCACTCTTAAGGTGCTTGGTTTTTTAATGATTGGAGATGAAAGAGGAGTAAGAAGCAGCGAGGAAAAGAGAGTACGAAGAATGAGGTTAAAATTATGGTGAGATGTTTAATTTTGGGTGTTGGGAGTGGGTGAAGCGAGTAGGAAGAGAGTGAGAGAAAGGAAGAGGAGAAGAAGGAAGAGGGAATGGGAGAGAGGAGGAGATGTTGGGGATTTGGAGTAAAAGAGATTGGAGGAAATAAATGAAATTATAATGTATGATAATCCATGAAATAAGGTAGAAGAGGAAGTGAGAGAGGAGAGAAGGTTAGGGTATAAGAAGAATAAGGGAATGGAGAAAGATGGTGGGAAGAATATAGTAAAAAAGATGGTGTTTTTTTAATAAATTTTAAAAATTTAGAAAAAGAGATGTGTTAATTTAAAAATCATGAGATATTAAGTGATCTATATATAAAATTTCTTTAATTTTTTGCTAAAAAATAAATCCGGCGATCAGAAAAGACTATTTGTCATCGATTTGTCACTTTTTAGGTCAAATTATTGCCGGTGTCATTTTTAGACCAAAATAGTAAAGGGATGACGCTGTTTAACCCAAATTTGTTATTTTAGCCCTTAATATTCATATATGCGTCCGGATGTATCTGTAGCTATTCGCTTTTATACGATTATACCTTCAAACCGGATTCGGATCACACCAAACGGGTGATGTACCCTTCTAACATCAAATCCGCTTGTGATTACGAGTGAGTGTTAGAGGGACCCACGTCATGGCAAACAAGGACGCAACCCGTCAGTGTCCAGTGCTGGAGTCATCGGGTAGCTTTTCTAGTTGTCAAGTGGTAATTGGGTCTCTTGATACGATTTTTGTCTTGTTTGGGTTTCCCCCCCTTCCTACAATGTAAAGCTTGAGGTACACGTTAAGAACGTGGTTTTTGTTGGAGTGATCTTTTTGGAGGAGATGTGGAAGTCGTCACATTGGGACCCAAGTGATTTATGGCAACTCAACATTGATCGAGCGTTCCAGAGACCATAGAATAGAACTAGTTGTAAAAGGCTGATGAAGCACCAGTTCAGTTTCCCGTTGAACTAGGTCACTAAAAATGGGTTTCCCATGTATGTATGCAACCTAGTGTAGATCGCGCACATAAAAATAAAAAAAATATTTATCATACAGATCTTCATGATTGGGAGCTCACTAAGGGAAGGAAATTTTAAAAAAAATGAAAAATAAGATAAGATAATGAATAGAAGGGAAAATATAATATATTGTTTGGTTTTTTGTAAGGGAAACAGAGGTGAACTTAGACTATAATATTTGGGAGTTCTAATTATGGGAAGGGAAAGAAAATAAAATGAATCTTAACCATATTGATTCATTATTACTATGGATGGTGAAGGTGTCTTTTTTATTATCAAATTTTACTTTCTTTCCTTTTTCATATGTTATTGTCCAATTTAAGGGTGAAAGAAACCATAGAAGTTTTTATGAAAACTTCTCATTCCTTTCCGCTCTTGACCTTCCCAATAAAACTACCAAACGAAGTTAAACTTAACATTTTCATCCCTTCCCCCTCTTTACCCCCCATCCAAATGCAGCATAAAAGATAGAAACGTTCCCTTAACGCAGCATCTCTGATACTTAGTGGAGTACTGATATTCGACTTCAGCCCCCCCCCCCCCCCCCCCCCCCCCCTCTTCTAATGAACTGTAAAAAATGTGTCAATAAAAGAACATAATGTTAAAAATAAGATTTATATAGCTGATCCCAAATATTTAGAATAAATACTTTCTTCTTCTTGTTGTTGCAACTTTCAAAGGTCGATGTCGCTGCAACAAACTATCCAAGTTTCAATGAGAGCGTAGTCTTATGCTCTAAAATACTAATGGATATATAGAATGGGTTAGTGGATATATAGAATGGATACTATCATTCTAAACACTAGCATTAAGAATGCGGGTTGCTGCATGCATTATTTACCAAGTTATATCCGTCACCAAATTGATAATATGATTTATATATATAATTTTTAATAAAAGCTTATGGTAGTTTTTATTACTATTTACAGAGTGAAATTTCCAAACTAGTTAACAAAGTAATATACAAATTAGCAAGTTTTATTAACTTTTTATAATTGAGCTAGAAAAGATTTATATATGTGTAATGTATGATAAATGTTAAATTCATCATTTTCAAGAAAAAAAGATATGAACAATATCTTCAAGGTCCAAAAATGTTTCATCAGCTCGAACAATGAATAAGATGCCAAAAACTACTATAGCATATAGAGGATGTTTAAGATTAAAAAATTACGATGTAATATGAATAATATTTATGGGAAAAAAATTACGAGTAATATGAATAATAATATGTTAGAGACCGAAAAGTTTACAATAGTATAAATAATAAATTTGAGGTTCTGTTTTTAAAATTAGTAGTAGATGTCATCGCCACCCTCCTATATTATACTCATCTGACTCTAGTTTAAGATCATTTGAGAAGTACGACCGACGGAGTCCAATGAAAAGCCCATGTAAAGCAAGTTCTCGCTCACTTCGTATGATTTTAAAATTTTCCCGTTGTTTTCTTATTGATCACTCAAAATGTCATTCGGAGTGTCCGGATAAATCTGAAAGCGCCGAGCTTACCAACTTATTGATCGTCTTAGGGGCTGTTTGGTTGTATGTTTTTACCACATAAAAGGATGGAAAAGTGTAAAAAAGTGGGTTCCAATGTCAGTGTCATCACTTTTAATTGTTTGTTTGTAGTTGTGAAAATAGTGTAAAATGATTTCATATGTTGATGTGGCTTGTAAATTGGTTTTATAAAAAAAAAGATATGATTTTAGGAGAAAGCTGACATTGAAGTCAGGAAAAAATAATAAAAAATAATTCCATCATTTGAGTAAGGACAACTTTTTATACTTTCCAAACAAACAATTAAAGTTACATTTACAAACCAAACAAACAATTTATGATTCCAATGAAATAAAAAACAAACAAAGAAAAGTATAAAAGTAAAATTAATGAGGTGGACAACAACTTTTCAAGTTGTGTCATAAATACACAACTTTACCAAGAAAAACCAAACAGCCCTAGCTGTTTGGTTGTATGTTTTTACCATGTAAAAGGATGTAAAGTGTAAAAAAAGTGGGTCCCAATGTCAGCTTTCATCACTTTCAATTGTTTGTTTGTAGTTGTGAAAATAGTGTAAAGTGATTTCATATGCTGATGTGGCTTGTAAAGTGATTTCATGAAAAAAGACATTATTTTAGGAGAAAGCTAACATTGAAGTTAGGAAAAAATAATAAAAAAATAATTCCAACCAATATGATCATTTGAGTAGGGACCACTTTTTACACTTTCCAAACAAACAATTAAAGTTTCATCTTGCAAACCAAACAAGTGTTTTATGATTCCAATGGAATAAAAAACAAACAGAGAAAAGTATAAAAGTGAAATTTATGAGTTGGACAACAACTTTCCAAGTTGTGTCATAAATACACAACTTTACCAACAACAACCAAACAGCCCCCAACTAGCCGCGTCATGACTCAGCCGTAAGCGGTGACGTGGACAACTTCCACACGGATGTATCCCCTTCTATCTCAAAACCGAAGGCAAAACCTCGGCCGAGCTCGAGTAAACGAGAAAACCACCACTTTTAACAGCACCAAGAATTCTCTCAAACGTCCAGATTCCCCGTTCTGTGTCCAAAACCCTAACCCTAACTAGCTCTCCAATGGCGTCCTTTAACCGCTACCCTTCCCAAAACTACGCCCCTTCAGCTCCACCGCTCTCCGACTTCTCCGCTCCGCCCGGCTCCGCTCACCGCCCTTACGCTCCTCCGCCGCCTCCTCAGCCTCAATCTTACGGCTCTCTTTCTCCGGGGGACAGTTTGGGTATTTTCCACCGGGGACTCATCCTGAGATCGTGAGCAGCTTTCAGGCTGTGGATCGAGATCGGAGCGGGTCGATCGATGAGTGGGAGCTTCAGGCGGCGTTGACTTCTGCGTACCAGAAGTTTAGTAGGAAGACTATTCGATTGCTTATGTTTCTGTTTGGGGATCCTAGGAATCCTTCCAAGATTGGTGAGATTCCTTAATCTTTGCAGAAAAGTTTCTATCTTGCTTTGGAAGCCCCCTGGACTTTAGCATGATTGGCGTAGAACTACAATTAACTTTAAAAAGTAGTGAAAACCACCTAATTTGGAGAGATCATTTTCTTTAAGGGAAAATCTTCTTTTAACCCAATTAAATAAACTCCCCATGTATAAGTAGAACCTTTAAACAAGACTCCCCTTTCCTTTAAAAAAATAATTTCTTTCTGTTCTTTCTTCCTCGATAAAACCCAGAACGAAATTTGGCCCAAAAGTTTGAAACTTTTCGAAAGTTTTTGGGGAGTTTTGTGGAACTTCTCAAAGTTTAGTTTTTTAAAAAAATTATGTATTTAAAATTTGAAGTTAATGGCGATTTTATGAAAATTAACTGAAATTGCTTTTGTGAAATTTACTTGCTTTTTCTTCTTTTCCTCTTTTTGATGCTTTTGATGATTATTTTGGATTGTCTAGTCTATTGATTGGGTTCAATGGTTTGTTGTGTCTAATTTTTCTCAGCTTAGACCGTGGGGTAAAATTTTTGGTCTTAATCGTTTGTGATACCCAATTTTCTTTGGTCTTAATTGTCTGTGTTAAGCTATTGAGTTTTTAATTAGTTTTGAATTCTATTTGGTGCGCAGATCAATTGATAGTCATAGAAACAGAAATTGCTCAATTAAAAGTGATTTTACTTTGTATTTGCTTCTGTTTAAAATGTTGGAAGCCTTACTCGTTGAACTGGATTCACAATGACTTACGTGGAGCTTTCCTTTTTCTCTTGAAAAAGATATTGAAATTGATTTTGCAGCGGTTGCTATTATTGTTGTTCAGGAAATAATCCTACATTTGAGTATTCGGTTGAAATGTCTAATATAGGGGCCTGTTTTATTGCAAGGAATTGGAATCCAACAACGAACTATATAGAATTATTCAGTCAAGTCTTGAAGTTCTATTATAGGCAATATACTTACGGGTTGTGCTTATATATGGTACTTGTAGCCCTTTCACTGTAAGATCTCATCTGGTACTGTTCTACTAGTATTGTTTTACTCTAACATCGGCAATTAAAATGTTGTTGATAATGTTTATTTATACCGACTTTTAGAGTCTATTAGATCTTTCTAGTGTATTTAGTTTGTGTTATTTGCATTACCTATGTGCATATTGTTGTGGATATTAAAACTTCAATAAGTCTCATAATATACAGAAAATTATGGTCTTAAAGTGATATTCTTCCTCTTACTTCTTTTCTCCTTTTTCAACTTTTTTATAGGGCCTACTGAATTTGCTGCTCTCTGGAAATGTCTTGGGGAATGGCGGGTAAGCAAAAGTGTTCTATTTTTAATATTTTTTAATTTTTTAATTTTTTTTGAGTGTGCTGTACTAGTGTTTTGATGTAATGGTAAATGGGCAAGTACGTAACTATTTTATTAATCTTTACCAAGACTTTCTTAAATCATAACTAAGAAACTTTACTATCTGTCTCTGTTGTCTTTGTGCACCTTGCGTTACCCTTTATGAAGGCTTTATCTGTCACTTATTTTCCAAATTTTACTTGCATAAGAAACCAATATCGTATCTCTTCTAATTTATATTAGTTCTAATATTTTGTTTGTAGTTACGAATAATCTGCCTCTAAGATGTCACGACTCATGTGTAAACATTGTAGTCAGGCTACCTTATTTTCCTTATTTTGGTCCCACATTGCCTAGGATACTGGAACTTCTCCCCTATCATTCACGGGCAGTTAGAGGGTTAGTTTGAGAATTACAACTCTTCTATTAATGGTGCAGCTCATCCCATTTGTGTGGGATGGTTTTGATATGAACTCTACTATTGCTGTTGTATATGAACACCTCCATGCAATGAAAAAGATAATCCTTTCCCCTCGGAAGATCTTTTATTATCATGGTATCTTCGATTCCTGTTCTTGTTGGAAACATGACATACAACGATACAGAATATACATATCATGACTATTAATCAAAATTAATCAAAAATTAGAAGAGTACCTGAAACGCTTTCCGAATTTCTTCAATAATCAGTCCCAAGATCGATTCGAAATAGCTTCCTCAAGAGAAAAAACCTTCAAGTGAAATCCACCCGTTACCGAAGAGGATCAATATTAAGAGATATGTTCTCAAATTTCTATTTCTCTTTTGTTATTCTATTCTTATAAGGCTACATATGAAACCTATATATAGGATTAGACTTGCTTTATAGATTTTAATTTCAAACAATTCTTAATTGTTCAAAATTATTTTAATAATAATTAACGGTA